TATAAAGAAAGAAATAAAAAGCATGATCTTAATCTGAAAATCAAGATGCCTAACTGCATGACAAATGCCTTATTTTATAAGCCAAAAATGAAAATTATTGATTTGTTGACTAATTGTTGAGTGGTGACCACATCTTGACATGATGACAATTCTTATCTTCTTGTCTAAACAAAACATCATTGCTAACATCAGAATTTGGATATACTTGAACATGAAAGTTCTAGTAAATTGTCTCAGCTTTTCAAAAACAATTGAGGTAATTTGGAGTTCTAAAACTTTGAACATGAAAGTTCTAGTAAATTGTCTTACCTTTTCAAAAACAATTGAGGTAATTTGGAGTTCTAAAACTCGAGATATAAGCTGAATATTGAACAATATCTAGGTTGTAGAACAGATTCTGACTTTTCCATTGTTGCTAAGATTTGGACTTAAAAATGACTTTTTTGAATCTTGGACTCCATGAAAGTTTTAGGCCTGTGTCTTAGCTTTCCATATATATAGAATAGACCCAAATCCAAGTTCTACAGCTCCAAATATGACCCAATGACTGAATAGTGTTCCAGTTTGGACCTAATTAGCATCTTTTTTCTAAGTTTAGCCCTCTCTTTATCTTCTCAATTTCAATAGTTAAACTCATCAATCAATCCCTTGATTTATGTAATAGGCATGTATTTATGATGAACATTTACCATAAATTAAAAGTATCTTATATTATTAAATATGTTATTATAAACGAGCTCTGATTAAGGAGTTATTGATGCTTCAAGATCAAAATAATGATATAAACCCTTGCTAAAGATTCACTTTGAAGTACTAATCATAAAGAAAAGAAGATAAAATGTTTGTTTTAAGATCTATTAAAATTCAATGATTCAACTAGATTTTACATTTTATTGCAGGATTCTAGTTTATTTCAATTGTTTTTAATGTCATGCCTTCTTCTTCTTCTTACAATTCAATGATTCCATAATTTTGCTTTATCTTAGCATATTAAGCTATGGATTGTATCACATTTGTCCTTTTTGTTCAATTTGGTATCATTTCTTGAGTAAAGATGGACTCCACTAGCTTTGGTGGATAATTTTTCCTTGTTTTTCCTTGTATTATGACCATTAGTTTCTTTTGTTTTGATGTTTATCTATTGGTGATGTCATATTTTTATGAACTATAGAATTTATACACTATTTATTTTAGCCCCATGGATTTTGATGGTGATATCATCTATTGTAACTCGTGGAATTTATTATGCTCCTTCTTATCCTAGGAATTTTGATGGATAAATAATGGCATGATCATGTGTTTCATTCTTCAAAGTACTACAAGATGTGCTGGTGTTAATTTGAAAAAAAAAAAAAAACAATGTCTTTGCTTCCTTATTTTATAAATTTTTTAAGCATTTCTTTTCTATGTTCTTCTATGAAATTGATGAATACATACACACATGTTAAGTAGTTTTAGTTTATATGACATGCCACCACCAACTTATTTATTTTAAGTTTGTTAATTGTTATTTAATTAAAAATTATGGATATGAGTAATTGTATTGTATTTTTAAGTTACTTAAACTATATATTTATTTTTATGTAAACCATGTATTTTTAGGTGCTTGAAGTATGTATAAAAAAAAAAATTTCTTGTGATTTTATGATTTTACGATCTGTTTTTATAATCTGAATTTATATTATATTTTTTATATTGTGTTAAAAATACGTTTTTGACAACCTTATTTGTATTCATAAAGCTTCATGGTATATATATTGATTGTTGTTTTATGGGATGTTCAGAAGGGTGGTAGCAGTTTCTTTTCAATATGTTTTTTATATAAAAATATATTAAAATAATATATTTTTTATTTTTTAAAAGTTATTTTAATATCAGCACATTAAAATCATCTAAAAACACACAAAAAAAATTAGTAATTTAAATTTAAAAAATAAATAAAAATTTAATATTTTGAAAACACTTTTCAAATAAAAAAACAACCAGCCTTTTTGTTTTTTTGTTTTAATATCAAAAGTTACTATCGGATTATTTTTATGTATTCGACACTAAATTTACTTTATGAGTTCAATTAAAAAAATAAATTTTCTATTCGTGCCTCCCAAAGCAGCCATCTTTATTCTCTAATGCCGTGCCCTTGTTCCTCTTTTCCTGAATTACTGTAACACGAGGCACTACCATACCATTATCTTCAAGGCATCCTCATTTTTCTATCTTAGTCGTATTGATCCTTATAAAATCATTTAAAAAAAAACAGAGAGAGGAGAGAACCTTGATAATTTTACTCAAAGTTCGAAGAGAGAAGGGTTTGGAAGTACATTAACTGTTGTTTTAAGGAGAACAGACCGAGTCTGGGCCAACTCAGAGATTTGACAGCTTGTCCATGTCTCTTTTCTACCAGGAGCAATGCCAGTGGACGTTCAAAAGCAAGAGGTCCAAAAAACTAGTCTCTGATAAATGCATGGTCTTCTCCACACTGCTTGAATCCTCTGGCTCTTCTTTTTTGAGGATTCAAGAACTCGGGCAGTTTTATCCAATTTTATGAAAGTTTTAATAAATTTTTAATTAAAAAATACTTTGAAAATCAACCATTACTATTACTAAACACCTTATAAAACATTGATTAAAAAATAAAAAATCATGCAAGTATCCTTGTAAATGTAATGGTCATTTGGCAATTTTTTTGGATTAATGTGAATATTTAAACTAGTTTATGTATATTTTAATTAATTTAATAAATTTTAAAATTAATTAATATATAAATTATTAATCCTAAAATTTATATAACTCCAACTAATAATTTAATAAAATAAACTTAAAATTTAATTAATTAAACTACAACCCTCTCAGACATCTCTTGCACCGGAATATCTTACAAATTGATGGAGAAAAAGCAAAGGATTGTTTCATTTTGTCCTACCCTGCTGGTCAGAAGAAATGCATCCCTCCTCCCTCTGCAAAGTAAAAAAAAATAATAAAAAAAATCATAAGGTGCAGTAGAATGCCTCCCCAGATCGCACGCTGCTATATATAATTAGACGTGGTAAATAAGTAAAATAGGGGACATGGTTTGAAAGTGACATGATAGAGTATCAAGATAAATCCCCATAATTGCTATGATTTTTATCACCACTGTAAATGGCTTAGAAATGAAAAGTTATTATTATTTAGAGGTCGTTTGTCTTTGCGGTAACTGCTGTATTTTTATTTAAACATAGATAATATAGTGTTTGGTTAAAAAATAAAACTGTGATTTGGTTTATGGAGCCCACTAAAATTAAGGTTCAATTTCAGGTTTCAGCAAAGCAATTTTTTCATGCTTCTCATCTAGCGTTCTGTATTTTTACGTTTCACTTTCACTGTTCACTTTTGCAAAATGAACAGTGAAGAACATATCCACTGTCAACACCAAGCCCTTCCCTTTAACTCACAGCAAGCAACTCCTCACCACCAACAACACAAAAAGCTCCCATCCTCCAGCCGACAACCAGCAACTCCTTCCCTTTTCACCGTGGTTAATAACAACAGTCACTACGTATGTAATAGCAGAACCAACTCCACCTTAAACCAAACCCGATCTATCCAAGCCGTGACAGAATCCCCTTCAGCAGCTCCTGCACGCGGACCTCCTCTTTGTTGCTAGTTGCTCCTCTTGGTCATAACTCCTTAAGCTATTGATAGAACCCATCTAAAAATAATAGAGGCAAGGAAGAAAAATAATATCAAATCTTTATGTTGAGTTTTTTTATTTTTTGCAAGTTTCGGCTAGCTCTCACTAATGGGATAAAAAAATATCTTCCATTATAATTGATTTTGCTCTTTCAAAACATATATTTTAAGTTATTGTGTTTTAAAAAATGTTTTTAAAATATAATATTTAAAATTATTGTATTTTAAAAGCGTGATTTTTAAATATATCATGTTTTTTTAATAATAATAATAATATTTATTAAATTTTATGATATAATAATAGTAGTTAAATCGATAATATTTCAATGAAAAACTATCAATATTAATATATATTTTTTTTAATTATTTTATAATCACAGTTTGAAAAGTATTTTTTAACCAAACACGTTAAATTACTTTTTGTTCAACCTCAATTTCAATCACAATTTTAACCAAACATATATTTTTTCAAACTAACCTTAATTAAAAGTATTTTTTATAAAATAACTTTTTTTAAATCACAATCACAACAATTATCACAATACCAAACACACTCTTAATAAAGCATACGTACTCATTAACCTAGAAAACATATTCATGTTACATAAATGACTAGGATCAGAATGATATCGATTAAAATTTAATTTTTTAAATATTTTTAAATTATTTTAATATATTTTTTAATAAAAAATATTTTTTTAAAATAAATATTTTTAAAAAAATAAAAAAACCTCTCCATGAGAATTAATTAAAAAACATGTAACATATCCAAACTATGAAACATGAATATATTATATTTAATTTATTTTCTAAAAATTATTAATTCAAATTTCATAAATCTTCATATTACTAAAAATTTATATAATTATTAATTTTAAAATTCATAAAATAAATTAAAATATATAAATTAGTATAAATTCATCTTAACACCATATTAATCAATATATATATATATATATATATATATATATAAAGTCAGAATATACAATACTTTGAATATGTGTTTTGATATAAGGATTGTTTTTACTATTGTAATTAAAAAAAATTATAAATTATATTTTTTTATATTCAAGATCTTAAAAGAGTTTTGCAGTAAAATCATCTAAAATTAGAATATATATTAATTAATTAATTATTTTTAAAATTATAATTATAATGAGACTAAAATATAATTTTAATCACGACTCATCATCATGCTAAACGTATCGATAAGATTGTCGCCTCAATTGACTAGAAGGCCCCACTCGTGTTGTAAGAAACAGAGATTTTTATCGGCAAAATCGCAGCGAATCACAGCTTTAAAGTCCCTATAAAATCCCTCCACCGAGAACTTATTTTTCATCGTCAAGCTCTCTTTCATTCTCTAGGTTCTAAGAGAAAATACAAACAGGGTCATGGGTTTTGTTTTAGCTAAAGCTCTTCTGACACTCCTCCTGTCTATGCTATGCTTCACTGTTTTTAGTGAAAAAGTTGAGCCAGCTGATCAACCTCTGCACCATGGCTCGCACCGTCACTACCCAACAGCAGCGCCAGTAAGTGAGCCACCGGGTCTTGCACCCAGCCTAGCACCAGCCCCTCACCATCACCACCACCACCACCATCAGGGCCACTCACCAGCTCCTGCACCTGTTAACACTCCAGCACATGCACCAGTGCACCCACCGAAGCCTCACTCTCCCCCATCTGCACCAGCTCACCCTCCCATGCACTCTCACCCACACCCACGGAGTTTTCACTTCCCTAGAAAGCTTGTAGCAGTCCAAGGTGTTGTTTACTGCAAATCTTGCAACTATTCTGGGGTTGATACCTTCTTGGGAGCAAAGCCAGTTCCTGGTAACTTGTTCACACTTTCCAAACCCTCTCGCTTAACATTTTCTGCAATAATTAGTTAATCTAACAATAATCTCAAGAAACAATATTTACTTCTCTTTCTGAGCTACCCAGCCAGTTTTCATGTTCAAAATCAAGTATGAGCTAGCTAACTAGCCAGTTTGTCCATGGAAATGTTGCTTGCCTTTTGCGTTAATCTTGGAAGTTTGTGTAGTGTGTGAACATGCATAGGAGAGCATATATTGCACTTTGTCCAAGTATCCAAGCATGCATACAAATACGATATACAGAAACAACGACAATGTAGATGCTGGGGCTAGTTTAGCTCATGAGGTTTTATTTTTTTCTTGTTTCCTATGTTCCAAGATCATGTGTTGCGGTTGCGTTTGACAATACAAACAGGCATCTTGTGATTTTCTGATACATTTGCTTGTATGTAGACTCACGTATATGTGTGTATTAATACTGTTTGTGCTTTTCTTGTATTTGCACGCGCACTGTGTCAGCTTTCCTGATCTCTCTGCTACATGCATGCATGATATATCTATCAGTTGTGCGTTTTATTCAAGATATGAATTGACGGGGGAGGGGCTTTTTCTTCCATGTCTGGTAACGTCAAATAACAAAGTTATGGGCCGAAGGAGCAGCCTCACTTTTTTCGAGAGTTGAGAGAGTGCTAGAGGTTATTTTTAAAATGTATTACATATAAACAATTATAAAAATAATATTAATTAACGTCTGTTTAAAATAAAAATTAAAAAATTTTAAACAATGCCAAGCTCTTTACACTAGGTACACAGGTAACATCGAATGCCTAGATGATTGCATAGATATCCTATCCTATAGCAACTCTGGGAAAGAGCTTATATAAAAAAAGGCAAAAAAGAAGCTATGGTATTGATGCTTTGACCAATAAAGTAAGCAAGCATTCATTGTTATGGCAGGTGCTACAGTGAAACTACAGTGCAATAATACCAAGTCCCCACTAGAGGTGAAGGCGCAAACCGACAAGAATGGTTACTTCCTCGTCAAAGCACCAGGGACGATCACCAACTATGGATTTCATAGGTGCAAGGTGTGGCTGGTCTCGGCACCAAATACTGCATGCAGCAAGATCACTAATATCCATGGTGGGCTGGCTGGTGCGATCTTAAGGCCTGAGAAGAAGCCTTTCGTTGATGAAAAGAAGCGTGGATATGCTCTCTTCAGTGTTGGTCCTTTTGCTTTTGAGTCCAAATGCCCTCGTTAATGCCCCCAAATTTGTACTCCTTGCTTCTGATTCTCCTAGCATTGTGTCTCCTACTTTAAGTAGTATTCCGAGCTTTTCCGGCCTGTGTCTGTAATGGCAATTCCTTATTATTGTTGAACCATCATTTTGCCGTTTGAGTGGAGAAAATTGATACTACGGGCCTTGTTTGTTTGGAAGGATAAATATCATTATTAAAGGGCCTTGTTTGTTTGGAAGGATGAATATAATTATTAAAGGTGATTCCTTTGGTTTGGTTTTGTTTTTACTTATAAAAATAATTAAATTAAAATTTTATAAATTATAAAAAATAAAATGAAAGCTAGTTTGAACGGATGATTTTGTTAAATTTAGTTATTTTATATTAAAAATTAAATATTAGATTGTTTTTTGGGTTCTTTCGGACATGGGCCTTGTGATAGTTTAGTTTTAGTTTGGTTTTGGTTTTTTCAGTTATGTTTTTTTAACTAAATAAGTTGATTTTTTAGTTTGGTTTTGGTTTTTTCAGTTATATTTTTTTAACTAAATAGGTTGGTTTTTGATTTCAGACTTTAGTTTGGTTTTGGTTTTTTCAGTTATGTTTTTTTAACTAAATAAGTTGATTTTTGATTTCAGACGTCATATAAAATTGAACTAAATATTTTTAAAATATTTTAATTAATTTAATCAGTTTTTTTTATTGTTTGATCTTTTAATCTTTCTTCAAAGCTCTAATAATTATAATTATCTTGGGCTGTTAGCTCTGATTTTTATTTTTTAAAAAAAAGGTCTTAGCAATCGGAGTACTAAGGAGAAACAAGAAAAAGAAGAAGAGAAGCAAAGAGGCAGAGGATGCACTATTTCAGGTGGCATAATTTGTTTCACTGAGCAACAAAGTAAATAAAACAGTCCATTTGACTCTGTAAAATACCTCAGAGCAATAAAATTCTTCAAGGATAGACTACATTACCATGTATGTTTTGGAAAAATGTGTTTTTACTGGGATTAAGTGATAAAACACCACGATGTGGTTATTTCCAATCACTGAGAAATCCCAGTGAGTGGTGAGTACAATAATCTCTTTTTCTGCAGAACCCGAAGAGTACCTGACGAAAGATCAACTTAGGATTTGGCTGCTCTTCCATTGGATTCTCTTCTTTTTTGTTTATTTTTTGACTTTCTATTATTTTTATTTTTGGTTAAAAGGTGTTTTTATTCATGATTCTGTACTATTTTCTTCTTTTTTACTTTATATTGATGTCGCTCCTCTGCTTTTGAAAATCATATTTTTTTATTAACTATAGATATTTAGATAGTTTAAGCGTATTTTAATTAATTTAATAAATTTTAAAATTAAAAAAAAAATCATATCATTTCTTATTTCATGACATGAAGTGGAAACAGGGAAACGATCTTAGTAACCTTAACCATATAAACTGCATATAGCAGGCAATGAAAGTTTAAAATGCACACGAATTTTAAAAACTTCATTTATTTATTTTTTGGGTTGAAGCCAGGGCTTACAACCCTAGAAACATTTAATTAGAGGAGAAACTGTAAACTCAACCAGATCATAATAAAACATTAAATATAAAACCGCAGGAGTCTTTAGACCAAAATTAGCTAACTAGTCTGTGGCTGAATTTGCTTCTCGAAATTCATGTTGCTCTGTAACTTCTCAGCCTCTCGCCAACAAATCTCCAGCACTGATGATTAAAATGGTTCACAACTTCACATCAATTTTTATGGATTTTTGGGAGATAAAATCTGCTACCAGAGATGAACCTGATTCTAGAATTAGCTTCCGAATTCCCCCGTAACCACAGCTCATAATTCAGCCATGAGGGGTGGACAAATTCCAGTGTTGATAGCAAACAAGCAATCCAATACCCGAAGCTATCTCAAAGAAATTCTCCCGCCATTAGCTAAATTACCATAGGATACCTTCTCTCTTGTATTCACTTGACGGTAGATTACTTACAAGCCACGGGATTAAATCTGCTCTAAAGAAAAGCGATCTTTCACTAGGCTTGAATAGAGGGTTCCATATCATCTGAGTTGTAGGGCAATATCTCAAATCATGCATGACAGATTCTACCTCCAATGGGCAATGATGACATTGTAGATCTTCAGCCATGATCCTGTGTGCTCAGGTCTCATTCGTCAACAGACTATTATGAGCTACAGTCCATAAAAAAACCTCGATTCTCTCTGTTCCGTTCCATTTCCACATCAATTTCCAGATCGTATCCCTTTTACGCTGTTGATTAACAGTTCCCACTTGTGATTCGTATAGAGAAAGTTCCACTGAGAGATTTGCACCGGAAGGCTGCATCATTCTTCATCGTGTTATCAGGGGAGTAACTAGCTAATACAATAACGACCTGCATAGGAAGTACGAGGATTCTTCATCTCTTCCATTGGATTCTTTTGTTTTGTTTGTTTTTTTGACTTTCAACTATTTTCTTTTTTTGGTTAAAAGGTACCTTTATTCGTGATCTTGTACTATTTTCTTCTCTTTTTATTTATATTAATGTCGCTCCTCTGCTTTTAAAACCATATTATTTCTTCTTTTTTTTTTAGAACCATCTAATAATCTCAATCATATAAAGGATATGTAGCAAATGATTAAAGTTTAAACATAGAAATACACAGGAATTTCAAAACCATATAAAGTTAAAAGAGAGCGACATATCATTCAAATTAAAGCCAGAAAGCTTCTTTATCTACCCTCATTTGCCCCTTTACGTTTTTTCTTGCCTTTATCTTGCCACTTTCTCTTTCTCTTGTCTTTCATGGGCTCTGCTACAAATTACTGGTTCGAAGGTGTGGGGAATTCTTTAGGACTTGACCATCGGTATCGATTTTGACAAGTAATGCCTCTGAATTTTAAGTTGGTGATATATTCATGTCCATGTTGATTAATTATCCAAGGCAACGGTCCAGCGGTGGAATGGCATCTTGCGTCTTCTGCTGTCACGGGTTCGAGCCTTGGAGTTGTATGCCTGTCAGCCCCGCGCTGCCTTACCTGCCTGCTGGGTTTGCAGGGTGTTCAGTGGGCCGTGGGGATTAGTCGTGGTGCGCGTAAGCTGGCCCGGACACCCCACGTAAATCATGCCTCTGAATTTTAAGTTGGTGATATATTCATGTCCATGTTGATTAATTATCTATATTGTGGTCTATATGTGTTCTTAAAAAAATTGATCAAATTATTGTTAGTTTTTTAACTTAGATGGGTGGATAAAGCTGTAAAACTCCAAATTGGTGGAGCATTACATAGGAGTTTGGGAGGTTTAAGACTGGTTGTAGGGTAAGCATCTCGTAATTTAGCCATTTTTTATTTTATTTTTAAATTATACTTTACATCTTAGATCAAGATAATTTTTTAATTTGAATAAAAAGCCTTACTACCCTCATGAATAATATATATTAGAAATAATTTTTCTATCACATTACCACTTCTATAGCTAGATCTACATTTTCTTTTTTATTTTCTTTATGTTTAACTAATTAAAACCTTAAAAAAGTTACATGTGAAACAAAAACCATAGCCTTAAATCATTGAAACCTTCAAAAAGATACATGTGGACAAAAACCATAACCCCAACTAGATGCCCAAGGGTTTTTTTCCTTTGCACCTTGTCATATTCGAAAAAATAACCTAATTTTTGCATATCATAAGATCAAGATTTGGAATTATTAGAGTTGTTGTGTTGCCAACAAGAGGAAAGTAGGAGATCATGGGATGGTTGATGAGGTTGCTGTGTTGATCAGAACTGCTAGTGTAGGTAATAGCTTTTGTAGTGTTTGATATGGTTGTTTGAGATAGTGTCAATGGTAGCATCACAATTGGTTTTTAAAAATCTATTCAGACTTTAGTTTTATCTTAAAATTTTATGTGTGTTAAATGTTTTATAAAAATAATTATTTCATTGTTTATTTATTCACTATAAAAAAAAATTAAGAATACTAATAAAATATTATATTGGTATATAAGGAAGATTCTTTCAGTTTTTTAATGTTTTAAACAGCTATGAAATACTATTGTAAAAAATTAACTCATTAATTTTTTCTTTTTTTTTTTCACTTTATCATCATTTTAAACACAATGAATCTTTAAGATACTACTCATGTCTAAAATTATTTTTTACCATTCTTATTTTTTATTAGCGCTTAAAAAATGAAATAGATGATGAAATAAAAAATTAACAAAAAATAAAATTGCCAATGAAATATTATGTTCATAGAAGATTCCATAGATGAGTTTTTAATTTTTTTTGTGTTGTTTGTTTTTTGATTTTTTGACTCAATAAAACCTATTAATTCAACCTTTTTCTTCTAAAATTTGTAAAACCTATTATATAATTAATTTAAACCTCAAATTGTAATGAAGTAAAATTCTAAAAAATCACATAATATATAATTAATTCTAAAAAATTACAATATCTTAAACTAGTACATCACATTTGAGATAATGATTCTTCAAGTGACTTTAATTTTTTTCAATTAAACATGTATCACTTATGTCCATTCAGAATAGTTATCAAGTTGATTTCATTAAAATATTTGTTCTTTAAATAACTACTTCATCTTAAATATGGTAAAATGAGAAACTTCAATATTAGTAAACTTTAAAATCAATTTTAGAAAGCCATTTGAATTTTGTAATAACAAAACTTAAAACAACTCAATAAAGATAAATAACTTTAGGAGATAAACCAATTACATTAAGATATCACTCTTTTACTTTGTTATCAATTTGCCTAAAAATTGGATTTGCCAATGAAAAGTTATCTAATTTATCTTTCTTAATTGTTGAGCCTTGGTCAATATCTTTTTCATTAGGTGTTTCTTTATTATCTTTCTCTATAGTTACAACATGATTACTGACATTATTACTTGATGAAACAAGAGTGTTTTTTTTTTTTTTTGTGGACTTGGACTTGAACTAAATATTTATTGTAAACATGGTATCTAAAAGAAAATAATTAACATAAATTAGAAAAACATACAGCAAAATTATCCAACACAAATAAATATAATGCATTTTAAAGCATCAATTAATATCTCACACATTTTTAATTTTGTTACACAATTATATATGACATAAAATGATAATAAAACATATCAATAACAAATTCAACAATTTATTAAAAATTAATCACAACTAACTTACACAAATTGACTAATAATTGA